CATAGAAATACTAAACCGCCAACAATTAACATATATATATATATGTGTGTTTGTGTAATAACCTGAAAAAAACCTCATCTAATATTCTTTTCCTTTGATGTTTTTATTTACCTACCCTTATTATTATGGTTACTATTGTTATCACTACCATTACTACCACTACAGCTATTGTTGTTGCCATTGTTACTAATAGTTATGATAGATGGTATGTTCCACCATTTGAGAAATGTGAGATAAAAACAAGGTGTCCCCATCGATGGTTAGAGACACGTGTAAAAAGTGTAGACGACAACGACGATGTGAAACAAAAATTTTACGCAATGAGAATACAACTACACAATATCCCTTGCCAAACTTTTTTTATTTTCCGATCAATCAATGACTGACTGACTGGTTGGCTAGGCTAGCTGGCTGACTGCTTGCCTGCCTAGTTGGCTAGACAAATAATCTGATTAACGATTTTTTATTAATTTTTTTCTCGAAATACTTAGTTTACATATAAAGTGAGTGTGTGTGTGTGTGTGTGCGTGTGTAGTGATAAGAATCACTTAGGATGGGGGGCAGTGTGTATATGTGCGATATGTATGATAGACACAGACAGATACTTGAAAGAAAAGTGGGGGGCGGTCAAAAAGCTTGTAAAAACTATTAGAAATTGCATAATAAATAAATGATATCAGAGATCGAAGTATGTAGATAAAGTTCGAGTGAAGATATGGATATATATACACATATATATGAAAGATACGGTGAAATATAATAAGGATTAGTTGGTTTTTATGACAAAATAAAATTGACACAAAGATGAATCAGACCTTTTATAAAGTGTCATATTTTAAAGTACCGCCTTGAGCATTAGACAGGCGGGAAAAAATTAACAGGAGAAAATCTGAAGATGTATCCAAGATTTAGCATATATCTTTTACCACTGTGATATATATATATATATATATATATATATATATATGTTTTAGTTCGAGTATCACAGATCACAGTCATTAAAAAGCCTTAGGGACAACAACACCTGGTGGTTACATGATTGATTGATCAAGAATTGATATCACTTACAGTACCATTGAAAAACCATGGAATACTAGAGAGATAGCTGTTTCATGGTAATTTGAGACTCTTTAGTGTTTCACGTAGCCCCCCCTCCTCGGTTACACGGCTCGTAAACCATTGAGAAACTGGAACTCAATCCAACTGCCCACTACGGATCCCAATTCCTGCTGATTCGCGATACATATGTAACACAACCGCCGGCCGATGTCCCCTTATCTGACTATCGTCCCGGCTGGTAATGACTTCTCTCACTAGTACTCTATGTAACTTCCTGTGTAGAGTCAGTTGCTATAGAGAGCATTAGGTAAGCTACCAGGTGTAGATGGATGTGTACTGCAGAAGAGTCCCAAACTAGGACGAAACAGCTATCCAGTATTCCCTAGTTTTCTAAGGGTTCTCTAACTGATGCCAGCTCATGATCAAACTTGTAATAATGTTAGTTAGTTAGTTAGAACTCAGATATGCTGGGTTGTGAACTATGCACGCTTAGTGTGTAGGGAATGATAATATTGCTGTGGTTAGAGCTGGCTGCTAGCCAAATTGGAAGACAGTAATTTACGTCGATGTGTACGTCCTTAATGTTGGTCGTGAGAAAGTATGAACAAAGACAACAGCAACAACAACAATCAACCACAGCTGACTTTGCGGAAACAATTTGCAGATAGATAATCTGAACTTCAATAAACGACCACAAAGAGATGGAAAGATTAACGTCCAGCGAGAAGCCACCAATCAGAACACTGTATTTGTTTGCTTACAATGATCTAGAATAATATACATGAAAATCTGTAAATATCTGTTGATTTCCTAAATAAACAATCTGTTGTCTGGCCCTCGTCTTCTGTTGCTACAATATTACTAGTTAGCAGTTGCCTAGGCTGAAGTAGTTGGGGTGAGATTCCATCCCCGGACCCACGCGGTGATTGAAGGTTGAGAGTGCTTAAGCCAATGAGCCACACACATCTCCATAAATTCCGTAGATTGATATGATTAATTCATGTAACTTTCTTCCACCAGTTGACAATGAACACAAGAGGTTGAGCTACAACAAATAACTCGATCATTTCACTTAATACTGGTAATGACACGCCTATATTCCAGCAATTCTTACTGCCTCTTCCACCATTCTTTGCATATCTCTCTGTTGCATCTTCACTCGAATTTTGATTCGCATATGCCAGTTTACGTCGTCTCTGGCGTAGACGTGATATCCGGCTGGCTATCGACCAAACGGCGGGTGTACTGCTCATCAGTCCGCTCCGTACTCTTCTATGGCTGGTTGTGAGATCTGGTCATTGAGAGTGGAAGACATGAAAAGATTAGCTGTCTTTGATCATAGATGTTTGCGCTTTATCCCCCGTGTGAAGTGGTATAATAAGGTGAGCAATATTGAGGTTAGGCATCGGTTGAGTGCTAGGTAAGGAGGGGAAATCAATCGACGAGGCTGTGAAATCACATCAACTGGGATGGTTAGGACATGTGTTACGTATGCCTAGTCATCGCCTGTGGAGTCGTCAAAAATAAACTTAACCAATTTTTACTACTATGTAAGAAATGAACAAATTGTACATTACTTTGTTTTAATCAGAATCTCTGTACTTTGAACTCAACCTCGTGGTTTGAATGGAAATCTAGTTCTGCCTACAACTCTCCGTCTTCTCCACCATCTCAACTGCCATCGGCCAATTCTAATTACCTACCTTCTATTCAAAAATTTCGCAGGGAAGCCGCATTTTCTCCCTACGTTACCTTGGTCGACCTCTGGCAATATCGATATTGGAGAATTAAGACTGGAGCAGTCTTCTCACAATACTTCTGGAGTATACTACGTTAATTGTGGATTTGGACCTTGTAATAACCCAAGTAACAAACTTTAATATATTCTTCCGGTAACTTTACTGATTTGGTATTTGTACTTCTATTTCAATTTGGGATACTAAGCTATTATAGTTTAAGGTCCTCCACACGCTTTGTTACCTGATGTAGGCTAAGGTTGGAAAAGAGCTAGCGGTTGTCAAACCAAAACATGGCACCAGTCAATAAAACCCACAACAGTTAGTTTAAGCCAGTCACGTAGGAAGGTGTAGACTTCCTGACTGACTGGCTGGGGTCCTCGGGACAGTAAAAATCAATGGTTAGAAACAATTGGTGACATGACTCAAAATCGTTCTCAATCGCTAACGCAGATGCATCCTCTCCTTGTGACTTACGATTTCCAATGAAACTGTTTTGTTCTTCGTTATTACTATTCCTTTGTCTCACACCTCTGTTTACTGTCTCTAATATGCATTTCTTCTACTTTCTTCTCTTTCTTTGTGTACTACATGGAGGGAGTGTGGCGACTTGAATTGCCGCACATCGGTGCAAAGTTCTGTATCGAAAACAGACAGACATATTTGTATTATCACTCTCTCTCTCTCGAAGGTTGAACTTATAAATGTGAAAACTTGCAACAAGCTTAACCTATGACTAGAAACTTCTTCGCGTGTGCTTATAGTGACTGTTAATGCCTGACAATTTTACAGTTAACGACTTTTTCTAGTCAAACTTCAGAGCAACAAGCCACAGATGGTTGATATGTATTCCTTTACGTTCGCAGTGGAACATAGGGCGCCTTCATACTGGAGAAAGTTCCTGTAGTAGTGGTGTTTATGCTTACAGAATGAGACTGCTGGCCTCATAATCCCAACCTTCCCTTTTTACCAGTCTTAGTACTTACTGGCTTAGCGAGGAAGAGGAGTGAGTCAGTGGCCGGGGCTCGGACCCCGGGCGATTAGCATGGTCGACGAGTATTCTACCGCTGTGCCACCTATGCACCGCTATAGATGATACAGACTGTCAAATATCACTGTTCTGTTTGGTGCAATACCACACCCATACTCTCTAGTGGTGTAATGATGTGGGATCACATATAATTAACAGGAAAAACGCAAACAGTCGATTGAGAGTACTGTGAAAACTCTACAGACGTGAAGTTGTGTACAGCATAGAGAGGACAACTGTATCCACCATAATGGTAGGCTACCTAACTATACTTAACCAATATGGCATATCCTGTACATATATAATGGTATCAGTTGGTTGGAGGCGATCGGCAGGAAGCCGTGATGGTGAGCCACATTGCAAACTTGACTGATAGAACTAAGTCTACACCAAAAGACAGGACTAGACACACATTAAACATCAGTTATTGACTAGTGTTCAATCAAAAATATGTCCACGGGCATGTATAAACTGGTATAGGAGAGAAAATAAACAAGGCATTTTCGAGTTCTACCGTATGTCAAGCTATTCATGCGTAGAGAACTCATTTCTTTCACAACTTATATAAAATAGGGTAGCAGCAAATCGTAAACAACACGAGTTAAAATCATGTCAACATACATAGACACTAATGATAGCAGTTCTTCCCATAAACAATAGCTAGTTGTTATATTGAGTGGTCACTAGAGCGTAGTAGCAGCAATTGTCATGCGTCTAAATCATTGGTTTTGATGCAGAGTGAATTCTACCAATCAGATTTGTGATATAATCAGATAGTTAGGTGACTCGTTACTGAAGTGCATTTCATCACATGCTTAGATGGTTGAAGACAGTCTGCAGGAAGCCCTGGACCAACATCAAGGACTAGACGCATGGCACTGCTTACACCCCAGTGAGTAATCATGCGTCCATTAGTCTTAGAGGATGTTAAAATTGTGAGCCAGGATAGGTCAGTGTTAATGTTTCTGAGTTCAGTGATTCGTGGAGTAGGTTAGAATCTCAGAGGGAGTCTCAGTTCCCTCTTCCAAGGGTGCAGATATGCTTCGCTGATGAGTACCAACAAGCACAAGCCTAAAAGACGTCGCTACATAAAAATGGGAGTAACTTTTAATTTGTTCAATATTTGCAATAATTGGTGAAAAAAACATTAAATTTTGACAAAGTTCCGTACTTACCGACAACAATACGGGCCAAATTGTCTGCCCAACGGAACATTTCATCCATACCAGATAGAGCTAATGCGTACACGGATGATCCACCAATAAGAACTATTATATTCGACTCTTTATCCATATGATAGCCACTTTCAAACCCGGTAATTTCATCAACTGGTGCTGGACCACCGACACTTGAAGCTAAGTTAGATGCTGTTGCAAGTCCTGAAGCAGTGCTCTCTAAGGCAGCAACACAGGAATAAGCTGCTGTATTGACCAAAGGTCCACTACTACTACTAGAAGTTAGACTATAATTAGTTGATGTATTCTGTTGAAGTAGTGTTGATGAAGACATATAAGTTTGATCAGATGGTCTTTGAACAACAGCTGATTCACCAAGTAAACTGCGTGACTCTGGTGAGATTGGTAATTCATGTGGTTTACGTACAACAGGTAGCATAGCTGTAAGCACTGAGCCTGAATTACGATAGGCTGCAAAGTCATCATAACTCTTCGTGATGTATAGATGCAGAGCATCTAAAAATAAAATAAAAATTTTATACGTTAATATGCATTGCAAGTTGTGTTTGTAACCAAAAAAACAAACAAACCAACAAACCACACGTATATACTGACTAGTCACTAAGAAAGAGTATTTTAGGATTTCATCATGAGCTGACATTAGTTAGAGAACCATTGGAAAACCTGAGAGTACTAGACAGCTGCCTCGTCCTAGTTTGGGATTCTTCAGCAGTACGCACCCACCGGGATTCGAAGAGTCCCAAACTAGGACGAAACAGCTGTCCAGTACTCTTAGATTTCCAATGGTTCTCTAACTAATGTCAGCTCATGATGAAATCCTGAAACCAATTAAATCCCCATAAATCAACACTTGAAAACAGAGTATTATTTCCACACATTGGTTTCCCTTTATGAATTTGAGTAGACAACAAGATGTACAGAAAAATATGGTACCATCATTGCTTATTTCGTTGGATACTCATCATCTGCTTACAGCCTAATTAAATTATTAAGTTTATATACATAAAATTTCTAACATACTTGTAAAAATTTTACATGATGTCAGTTGACAGCAGGTTCCGAGCTTAGTGAACAATGCTCAGAAAATTACGCTTACACACAGGGAATTCAAGTTTAAACAAAGTAAATGTATGCACGCAATGGTAAAGGAGTTACGTAAATAGGATGAGATGCGTAGGATGATGAATGACTAACGAACTGGGTAACAATGTACTTATAGTTCAACTCAAATCATAGAAACAAGAGACAGTCAAAATTACACCATATCAAAGGGGGATAAGGTTAAAGCCAAATATTATGTAGTCTAATCATCAAAGAGAGAATACAGACATTCAGGTACCAGGACAATAAAAAGATTGAAGTGCTTCTTTCTGAACATATAAATCAGGTTCTAAAGTTTGATTTTAACTACACTTCAGCAAACTTGAGGAGAATTGAGCTGTTTATTTTTCTATCAATAATTTTAAGAGATTTAGTAACGTCCACCTGGTGATCCGGTATTGATGAAATGTCTGGCAATGGCATTATTGTAAGTATTTTGTTCAGTTGAGACATAGATATTTTGGTACATGTTCAGAAAATCAGAGGTGTTCCCTTCTTCTTCCATCCACAACGGGAAACTTACGGAAGCCTTCGAAGTGGGGACAGGAGTGAGACAAGGCTGTCTACTATCACCAATGATCTTCCTGATTGCAGTAGATTGGATAATGCGACACAACGGGCAATGAGGAAACAGGCATAAAATGGACTCACACAAAAAGAGACTTGGAGGATCTGGACTTCGCCGATGATGTATGTCTGATTGCACACAAACTGGAAGATATGCAAGTGAAAAGCAACAAGTTGGCGATAGATGAAGCATCAAAGATACGACTTCCCTCAGGTGAACATAGATAAAACAGAGGTGATGAAGATTCCTGGCCAACACCAACAGCAACAACAGACAACAATCAGCCATCAGAATTGGGAGGAACCTGAAATAAACAACCTCCTTTATCCACCGACCTGGGAAGCATCGTGTCAACTACAGGCGGATGGAACTGACGAGGATATCAAGGCCAGACTCGGAAAAGCAAGACAAGGTTTCATTACCCTTAAGTCTGTGTGGAGGTCAACAGCACTCAGAATCAAAAATAAGATCCGGATTTTCAACTCCAATGTGAAGACAGTCAGTGCTACTATGCGGATCCGAGAGTTGGCCAGCGCGTCATAAAGAGCATCCCAAACAAACTACAGACGATCAACAGTTGTCTTCGCTCAATGCTACTCAAGATCAGATGGCCAGCCAGAAAAGATCACCAACAGGGAGGGAACTCTGGGAGCACATTAACCAGGAACCGATTGTGAAACAAATAGGCAGGAAGAAATGGAGATGGATTGGCTGGCCATACTCTGAGGAAACACGCCATCAAGTGACATCACTAGACAAGCCATTGCTCGAGTGGAACCCGAAAGGGAAGCGGCAAGTTGGTCGTCAGTGCTAGGGTGACATGGAGGAGATCATGTGAAGAGGAGATGAAAGCATGTCGGCAGACTTGGAGTGGAATGAAAAAGTTGGCAGAAAACAGAAGGCAATGGAGACGCGCAGCTGAAGCCCTATATTCCTCTAGGAATTAAAGGATATAATAAATAAAAATAATAATCCATTCTTCTTGTTATCCCATTGTGACTGCTCCTGCAGATACATGTAAATTTGTATACACACAGCTAGATTTAATGTGAGAAGGGTGGGTATCTGACGACTTTCGACTGCAACAAAGGTGAGCGTGTGACGTCCGATGAAAACGCGAACCAACTTAGCTGAAGGATAGGTTCTTGTTAGTGACATATTCAATCTTCTATTGATTATTCCTGCAATTTTATCATCTTTAAAATCGAGTTAAATGAAGACAGATATTTTTTCAGTTGTGATTAGTTTGACACTAGAGCCTTCATACTTTTTCGTACTTGTAAATGGATTTCTGAAGAGAGTAACCGTTGTTTTTGGAGAATCAGAAATTCTTCCTCTAATCTTTCTGTACAGAATATTCTCCCGCCCCTATAAAACAGAGTTTTGGCCAGTGCTTGTTATTATTTTGTATTAAAAAGGCATTTGTTTTCTTTACTCAAAAAATCTCATCTGCTCTTTATATACTGATTTGTCTAGTCGAAGTGTCACCCACTATTTAAACTCACAGTTAGGTGTAAAACAACACGTGATTATCATTATAAAACTCTTTTTAGATTCCTTTACGTTCCCAGTGCTGGAACATAGGGCGCCTTCAAGATAGAGACTTGAAGTTTCAGTAGCAGTGGTGTTTATTTTTACGGGACGGCGTTGCTAGCCGTCTCATTCCCAACCTTTCCTCTTTACCAGCTTTTTTATTTCTGGCTTAGAGAGGTAAAAGAGTGAGTCAGTAGCCGGGGATCGAACCCCAGACGACCACATGTGGCGTGGTCAGCGAGCGTCCTAATCGCTGTGCCACCGATGCCATTATAAAATTTAATTCAGCTTAATTGATCAGTTATAGGGAAAAGAAAATTAACTGTACACATACACAGGGAAAAAACTGATTTAAGTAATTGTATTCTAACTGACATTTTATTAACAGCAGTTCATTCCGGAATATACATTTTTTAACGTTTAAGGGACCCTTGAGGGGCATTAACCAGGCCTTGATTGTGACTGGAATGGGTAGTGATGAGTTGGGCGCCTGAGGATAACATGGAGGAGACAGTTTGAAGAGAAAATGAAAGCCTATAGACGACGCTGGAGCCAGCCAGGACAGAATACAATGAAGATTTTTTTGATTCTTGATTACAGCTTGATTCCACAATGTATTTTTGGTACAAGTATGGAATTTTCAGCATACGATATCTGTAGCCCAAAGTTTAACAGGCCGACCATAGACATCAGGTGTGCGTCGGCAGGGGATCGAACCTCGGACCATGTGCATGGTCGGCGAGAGTGCTAACCACTATGCCACCGACGCTACTGAAGCCTTATATATATATATATATATATATATACTAACAGTAAAGAATAGATGCCAAGGCCAAATGACCTTGAACCAGCCAATCATGTGATCCTAGTAGTATAAAAAAGTACGTTTACTGCATATAAAAAAATGATGAATTATATATGGTGTGTTTCTTATATGCTGTAAAAAGAACACTCAATTTTTTTATTAGAGTGACTACAGTAATCAAAACCAGAATTTGTATGAGTAGCAGTTATAGGCTCTCCTAATTCTGACCAATGATTGACTTTATAGTGATCATAATTTAACGATGACAGTTATATTGCTCACTCAGCATTTCAAATGGATATCGCCTGTAATCTTCGTTGCAAGTTTCACTCTCAGCCCAACCCTACTCTACATCATAATCCTACTCTAACCCTAACCCTTAAGTATCAGAGTGAAACTTTCAATAAAGGCTATGAGAAGAGCATTCGTTTGTTACAAACATTCAGCGATCTGACTGGTTGGTTTAAGGTCATTTCACCATGGTATCTATCCTTTAACCTTGCCGAATAAACTACTACTACATCTTGAATACCCACATACATTTAAAACAAGCATTTGGATTGGATTTATAAAAAAAATAGAAAAACACGATTATCGTTTCAGATATATGGCGTGGGAGAAATTCCTATGCAAAGTTAAATACGCACATAAAAACGTCAAAAAGACAAGGAAATCTTTTTCTTTGAATGAAATTTTACCTTATAAGGCTATAAGGCATATAATTCAGCTTACAATGATAAGAAAATATGAAGAGACTAGACTGAAATTCACCTTAGAATGACCTTGTGATGCACGTGATATCCAGGCGAAGGTCGCATAAAATGTCTGAATACAGACAAGGTCAATAAGCAGTGGAAATTGTTTATTATGAGTCATTTCTAAGGTTAGAATTTAAGACAAAATTAGCCCACATATGTTAGTGTTTCGGGAAGAGAATTTCAGGTGGTAAAATAAGCATAAAAATATACTTCATATTATTACTCTTATATTCCAAATGGTTTAACACACGAAAAAAACGCAGTATGAACGAAATAAGGTTCCTTGACAAAGGAAGGATGATAATAACATAGAGATTGGCTCTGATTTCTAGAGTTTAGAATTTTGTTTCACGTAAAGAGGATGCATTTCGATTCCATCTGCTACCGTCATCACAAAGGGTCACAGTTACGAAAGCTGTCAACAAGCTGAGACAAATCAACAGGGCGCTGATAATATGACATCAGAAGTCTTTAGAGATAGTGGTAATGGATGACGAAATTAATTATTGTATATCCACAAGGGGTTTACGTGCGGAGGGTATGTTGATTATCATTCCACCTAATCGCCAGGTTCTGGAATATAGGCATAATTACCGGCATCTACCACTCACTCACTACACTTCCTGATCTCAAGATGCCATTTGACTACGTCGACCGTAAGGTACTGTGACAACGTGGAGGAAGGTCAAAAAGATTAAATCGTACTAATCAAGACACTCTATATTTATAT